CCCTTTTATTTCCAAAAACAAACAAACAACAGCAACCCTATAACACAACAGCAACAAAAATCCCAAACAAACAAACAAACAATGGGTAAATTTAACAAGAAAATGGACACAGTTTCTATACTATCGAAACAGAATTTCTCCTTCATTTTCTGTTTATATTTCTCACTTTATCTTTGTGGAACGAGTGATTCCTTAGTTCCAAGGTTGTATCCTTCTTGAAAGGCACTTTACACAATAAATGTTTCACTTAGCTCGATCATATCGTACAATGACGTTAAATTCGGAGGTCCCCGTCACTTAAATAAGCTTACAGTATTGTAAAATCAATCCAATCGCATTTCAGTATGATTGCTTTTTGCTTCCTTGTCTTGTAAGGAAGGGGGAGGGGTTTGGGAAGTAGAGGGGGGGTGAGGAGTAGGATTGTTTTTGTTTAACTAAATGACGAACATGCCCTCTCATTCAAGACAAGGACGCAAACAGACCTTCGCATACCGGGACCAATTAGGCCAGGAGAAAAAGGAACCCGCTTTTAAGTCACACCCATCTGTCAGAGATCAGAGATTACGCAATTTACGCTCACAGCAGATTAGTGAAAACCAGGCGGGCGCTCTACACGAGCAGCTATTATGATTTCCTGGTAAGTGGAAGGCAAAATCCCACACCCTCGCTGATGAGAGCCTGTCTAATTAAACTGCCACAGCTTGTCAGTTTATCCTCAAACGTTGAAGAGTTCCACTCGCTCCCAGTATCATCACAGGAGGAGCTCTGGGAGACTTCTCACTTTGTATTTTTTTTTTTCGGACTCTTTTTTTTCTTTCTTCATTATTTTTTTTTTTTTTGAAGACGCCTTCCTTAAGCTTTAACATCAACTCAAGGTAAGACATTCAGGGTGTTGATGAACAGATACTTTGAAGTAGACAGCTCTTGATTTAACGATACCCCACTTGTGGGATTCCTGTTCGTGAAAGCATTCTTGTAATCGTGCAATGTGAAAGAAAACGAAGGTCGAAGTAAAAAAATCAAACAAATAAAATGTTTCTCAAGAAAAGACAAAAGCTATAAGACAACAAAATATATGAAAAATGGTATGCGCTTAACGTTCCTTGCAATGCAATAAGTCTGTTTAAGAGGCAGGACCTCTGAATTACACTTCCATCTCCGATAGGACCCAGACAAAAGGAACAAATCGTGTAAAGTGCGTTTCCCAAGAACACAATGTCGGACCGAGCTGAGCCTC